ATTTTCTCCACTCGCAAGTGGTTCAGGGTCAAGAACCAAATCATTCCATCTTATTATTATTGATGTGCGGTGTATATTTTGGTTAACACCATAACACACAAAGGTGGATTCTCAAGGTTGAGGTAACGAGTTAGTTTTTCTAACATGAGGGGGAGACATGATAAACAGTTGAGAAAAAGTTACGTGGAATGAATTATCATTTGTACAACTAGATCCTCGAATAAGATAATATGAACTTGAAGTTCATAAAAAGGATAATTCATTTGCAATATATTGCAAAGCACGCCAGACGCATTTGCTAGCCCAAAGAAAGTAACTATATTCTCACTGCAAATGCTCCTATTAAAATAAGTCCTAGAAGGACAAAGTCTATGGTACGCTTAAGGCGTTTAGACAAATCGATTTCAAATAAACTTCTTAATAAAGAAGATGAGCAAATGATCAGAATGATCATAATAAACGAGGCAAGTGATCTAGAAGATCACATGAAATAACACTTCATAAAATCTCATGAGAGATTCAGGTACCTGAAAATATAAATGAAGAGATCTCTATGTTATGTCTTTATGAAAAAAAGGAGGTTGGAACCAATATAAAATATTCGTCGACGACATCTATAAAAGCGCTAAGTATAGATGAGAATCTTAAATCTGTCGAATACAGACACAAAAATATTGGCCAAATAGAAGAGACACAATTCAAATAGAATTGGTTTCATATGAAAGACATGTAGTTTTGAACATGTAGTTCAAACACTTGAAAGTATAAAGTTAATGTTATGTGCAATCAGTTTTCGATATCTTATATGTCTAGCATGACATGAAAACTTGATATGCATCTAAAGTCTATTATATTGCTTATATGACTTAACAATCCCTGAATGATTTAAATTGCTTAAAGCATATAGAATTCACGGTCATGAAGTACTACATCCTCAGTGCAATTTGTGCACAAATGTATCTTGCTATAATTATAAGCATGATAATATGATAGCAAGAGTTTTCACCTCTATGTGAAGATATTGAACTGACTATTCCAACAAGATCATATGAAGACAATCCATCTCTATCAAGAATGATGATTTCAAGGTGCAATATATTCATTCAAGTTAATATGGCTGATTTGTTTATCAAATATCTACCAAAGATCTTTTGAAGATGGTGCACAAGATTGGAATCTAAATACTTAAGGATGTGAAGTGATGCTCTCATGAGGGGGAGTTAATACACGTTGTACTCTTTTTCCCTTACAAGGTTTCGTCCCACTGGGTTTTCCTTGCAAGGTTTTTAACGAGGCAACCAAAAGGCGTATTATTAGATATATGTACTCTTTTTCCTTCTCTAGAATTTTTTTCCCACTGAGTTTTATTTTAGTTAAGGTTTTAACGAGGTACATTATCTGTTGAATAGACATTCAAGGGGGAGTGTTATAAATAGAATTTTATTTATGGTGAATGTCTATATTTAGAGAGATTCTAGGGTTCATTACTTGGTGGCTAAGTCACCCTCCCCCTATAAATAGAGGGTTCCATTCCATTGTAATTCATCCCAAATCAATAAGAATTCTCTCCCCTACTTTTATCTGCAATACTCTTCTTCTTTTTTTATTGTTTTATAACAACCAACAAAATAATTTTATTCAACCATGTTTTATATGACTTAATATACACGTGTAACGCACGAGACTAGTAAGCTCAAAAATACGGCGAATATTATTGTTGAGATATCTTAAATAAAGTTGCAACCCTTCTTCAGCATCTGTTGATGTTTTCGGATCTCTCATGATTATTAATGAAGATTCACTTCCTTGATCATGATGCGTCAATTTATCTATTACTACTTCTTTATCCTTATCTCTTGCTATTATCATATCATTTATTTACATTCAATTTCTTAAATTAACTGTATAAGTGATATTTCCGGAAGTGAATGATGACCGTGGCATAATTTGAGGATTTTACACGAGGGTGGATTCCATTTGCACCAAGAATGTGAACTTTTAAAACTAAGTTACCAACTCTTCCCTTCTATTAAGTTTTTGGAAAAATGCATAAATACCCCTTAAACTATTTTAAATGTAATAAAAACACCCCTGAAAAGAGATAACCAGATAAGTGTTTTGTGAGTGAGTTACACGCACCTTTTTATCACTTAAAAAAATTGAAAACTATGTTTCCATCTTCTCTCATACTTGTTCTGAAACCCGCTTCGCCGCCGGAGAAACAAAGTCCAGCGAGCCATAATTTTTTTTATCTCTTATCACAGGCAAACATCAATGTTAACACCAAAGACCAGCCTCCACCTTCATCTCCATCCTCTCACTGCCAAAATATCCCCAACAACCATTAAGTCACTCAAAATATTCGATCACCAATTTTAAAGGAAACATACCTATTTCTTTCACAACCTTATAAAATGAGGAGAATATTCGATAATAATGATGGATTTTGCTAATAATTGCGTTCAAGTTGATTTTGAAGAGTAGAAATTCCACCTAACCCACATCACCGTTTGAGCCAATTGCTTTGATAACAGTTTAAAAAAAGGAAAATCAGTTAATGTGTATGCTATAAGAAAGGGTTTGATATGTAAGATGAAGTTCTCAAAAGAATTTTAGTGAAGAATTATTTGTTCATGAAATTCATTTATTTGTTGGTAATTTCTATTTCGGTTAGCTGCCATTAAAGCTTTAAAGTGACGAGAAATACCAAGATGAAAGGAGAACAGGTTAGAGAAATGGTTATATAATAGTAACTAATTCCATATTGTCCAATTGAAAAATGACATTTGTACTATTAGTTACTGTTTAACTCATTTTACGCTTGTGACGCGCTCCCATGAAAGTGCAAGCACGTTCACTGCTACATCATCATTGAAGGGTGTTTTTTTTTACACTTTAAAATAGTTTAGCGTGGTAATATGATCCCCACAAAGATAATGTGTGTAGTTGAAAATTCAATTATAGGCCAAAGAGGTACTTATGCATTTTCCCTATACTTGCTTCTATATTATTTTCTCTTAAAATTTCATGAAATATTTTGTCAAAAGGCACGACAAAATCAGTACTAGGTTCAGATAGCTTGATCAGATTTATAAGTTAGAGAATATGTGAAATTTGAATTTTGCAAAAATTTCTTTGCTACTCGATGTGGTAAAGAACTAATAGTTTTTTTTTTTTAAAGGAGGGGATATAAATTGGATAAACATCTTGTCATATATTTTCACTTCATTCACAAAGACCCCTTAGTTGCTCTTCTACTGTGGTTGCAAAATGGATAAAAAATGGTTATCCATCCATATTATCAACCAAAAAACAAGTTAGATAATGAACTTTTTAAAAATGGGTCAAATATGAATAAGGTTCATATTATCCACTTAGGATAACCAATGACTTTAACTTCTATATAGTAAAGACTTAAATTGGGGGTTCCTCAATTTTGGGAGATTAGGATTCTCCCGAAAGTGATCATATTCAAAAAGCCATGGATAATATGGATATTCATATTATCCGCCGATTAACCCATTTTTTATTCATATTAAATATTCGAGTCGAATATTTTATCCGTTTTTACACTATTCATTTTCGATCCACTCATATCCAATCCGGCTCGTCCATTTGCCACCCAGGAAGAATGAGTTAAAAAAGACTTTAAAGTCTTATGTAAGAATTTGCGACATATTTTTTTGTTAACAAAGAAGGGTAATTAAAGGGGGTTGGGGGTCCCATTAAAAATAAGAGAAGTTGTGGGTAAAAACTAAAAAGACCTACACTTATTTAAATTATTTTAAATTTTCAGTTCCCTCTTCCTCTTCTTCCTTGTTTTTTTTCTTCTTCTCCTTCTTCATCTCATTTTATCATCTTCTTCTTTTTTTTTTCCTTTTTTTTTTTCTAGCGGTGTAAAATACGCGAGAGAAAAAAATATATAGAATTTTACAAAGTAAGTATACTGCAAACACCCCTCAAATTTTTTTGAAAAGAAACATTCCCAGAATGAGTATTCTGCAAAATATCCCACGAGATGTTTGAAACATCCTCGGGATACTTCAAACATCTTGGTTTCAAACATCTTGGGAATGTTTGAACGTCTCTTAGGATATTTCTTTCCTTCTTCTTTTTTTCCAATGGTTTGAAATATGAGAGAAAAAAGAGAAGCGTTGGGAGATGGAGGAACAAGGGGAGTAGGAGGAGTGGTTGGGGGAAGGGGGGGGGGGGGGAGAGGAGGAGGGGAGGAGTAGGAGTAGGAGGAGGAATAGGGGGGACTTTATGTAAATAAGAAAATTTTGAGGTTTTTTTAAAATTATGTCATTAATACTAATCATAAAAGTGTCCACTCCACCCAATTTTTAATACTTTTACCTTAAAAATTAATATAAGTTTTCAAGTGTCTCAAAAATTTAAATACCTTGACTGTAACCTTTATTGTGGAGGCTGACGGTCAGATGAAGCTAATTAAATTCACCGTTTTAGTTATGACGTTTAGTGATTTTAAGTGTTTGCATAAACATAATACTAATAAGATTAGGACTTCTTTTGAAGAAAAAAGCTTAGGATATATTGGCTTGAAAGAGATTCTGTTTAGGTAAAAATAGGATTTGTATGTAACTTTCCTAATTAATACTCCCTCTATTTCAATTTATGTGAACCTATTTCCTTTTTGGTCCGTTCCAAAAAGAATGACCCCTTTTTAAATTTGGTAACAATTTAGCTTAAACTTACAATTCTACCCTTAATGAGAAGCTTTTATAACCACAGAAATACTCTGGGATCCTTTTTGACTTGTTTAAGACCACAAATTCCAAAAATCTTTATTTTTTCTTAGACTTGGTACCGAGTCAAACAGGTACATATAAATTGAAAGGGTATGAAATCACACGTTTTCATACGTTGTACCGTGAATTGGTTCCCAATCCATCTAGGAATAGGGTTTCAGTCACTCTCACAAATGAAAGAATGTATTGAGTTTATAAAATGGACCCCACATATATAAATTTCCCGCAAAACCCAAGTTCTGTTACTATTTCTCCCGGGAAAATTTAACTAAAAACCCAAGAATATTATTCTCCTCCTACAATCCCCTCTTCTTCTTCTTCCTCCTAGGGTTTGTTTCAGAAATCTCCTAAAATCCTCTATGGAAAACCCCAGCTCAGACTCCATACACTCTAATCACTCACCTCCTAATCCAAATCTTAATCCCAAGACTCCTAATAATAATAATAATCATCTAATCCCGGGATTAAATTCCTATCATCCTTCCCCTTCACGTTCTATTTACAGTGACCGTTTTATTCCCAGCAGATCTTCTTCTAATTTTGCTCTTTTTGACTTGCCACTGTCGTCTTCCTCGCATTCTAACTCTAGAGAGGATTCTAGCAATGCGTATACTTCTCTTTTGCGTACTGCGTTGTTCGGGCCTGATTCTGGGCCTGTATTGCCTCCTGTTACACCGGAGAAAAACATTAGTTTAAATGGCAGGAATTTGCAGAGTATTAGACCCAATCGCAATATTTTTCGGTATAAGAGTGAGACCCATCAATCTTTGCATACTTTGTCTCCTTTTGGGTTTGATGATCAGCTGCTACCTGGTGTTAGTGGTCCTAGCCCTGTTAAGGCTCCCCGAAAAGTTCCAAGATCACCTTATAAGGTAACACTTCTTTAGTCTATCTGCTAGCTCTGTCCCGTTTTACGTGACCCTATTTTCTTTTTGGAAGCAATTTAACTTAAACTTCCTATTTATACTTAACGAAAAGCTTTTATAACCACACAAATGTTATAGCATGTTTAGGACCAAAAAGTTTCACTAGTCTTATAGTCGAGAAAATGTTGCTTGTTTAAGACCACAAGTGTCAAAAGGTCTTTCTTTCCTTTTTAAAATCTATGCCCAATTAAATAGGTTTACTGTAATTGAAATGAAGGGAGTACTACTAGGAATTTTCGCTCCGAGGAATAGCAAAGTGGTTGAGGTAAAGGGGTAACAATCTAGAGATCTTAAGTTCGATTTTCAGCTAGAACACTTAGTGTGAGCTCATTGCGCTGGTGGGCAAGTTTACCTGGCACCTCAACTTGTGAGCTGTAGAGTAGGAATGACACTTACTATATCTTAGTTCCCTTAGTAGCTGCCCAAATCACCACCCTATTCCACTTTTCTTGGTTTTTTGGATCTTGACTATAACGTTGTTATTTTTTTTTTTGCTGTGTGGTGAATATGTTATTACCAGATGAGAAGGCTTATGTAGGTGTGCTTGTATGGTTGTTGCTAGGTATTAGATGCACCTGCGTTGCAAGACGATTTTTATCTGAACCTTGTGGACTGGTCTTCGCATAATGTATTAGCTGTGGGACTGGGGAGCTGTGTATATCTGTGGCATGCATCTAGTAGCAAGGTGAGTCTTTTGGCTTCATTTTCTTTCCTTCCATGGAGATGTTAACGTACTGTTGCTCTATCAATGCATCTATCTGGCTGATAAATATAATTTAATTCTATCGATTTCCATGTGCAGGTAGTGAAGTTGTGCGACTTGGGAAATGATGATAATGTTAGTTCAGTTGGGTGGGCACAGCGGGGTACACATCTTGCTGTTGGAACAAGTAATGGGAAAATTCAGGTATGGAACGTTACATTGGTTATCTTACTTACTGTTGTTATATGAAAGAAAACTTTTAACAGGAGCTAATTACAGATTCTAAATTTTTGATTTTTTGTGCTGATTAGATCCAAAGTATAATAATCCTTGAGTCAGAAACATAGACTTTCTCGGAAGGAAACCGCATGTCCTAGCACTGGTGGTATTTGTATATATATAAAGTGCTTTAATCACACTAAGCTGCATATTTATCTCGATGTTCTCTCCATATGTTTATCTATAAGCCAATTTTGTTCTATGAAATTAAGTAGCATAAAACTTGAAAAACTTGCTGAGGCTGTTGTCTCTGCAGTATTTGGAACTCGCATATTAAGGGAAAAGATTTCAATATAAGCTTCGTGAAGTTGTCATATTGTGTTTATAATGTACAAAGTTAAGTTAGAAATGAACTGTACTATTCACTGTAAATTCCATGGGAACAATTATTAGAAAGCTTGGGCTGGTTATGCAGTTGTATTCCCAATTTTTCTGAAGCAAGACATAGCATGAGGCTTAAAGCCAGAAAGCACACAATTTTTACTTTTCACCTTTGTCCTATGAATTCGGGCATCCTAAAGCTAACATTGGCTCGCTTGCTGTAATAACTTAGATCTTTGTTCTCCTTTATTCATGCTCAATTATTGCGTGAAACTTAAATTTCTGTTTGAAGTGCATGAAAATTTTATTTCTAGGTCTAATCTGTTGGATGAAAAATATAGGATTGTGTTGTAGTACCTTCTTTGGTTACATGGTTAACGGGTGTTTGAATCTCATGTGGCGTAGTTATGGGATGCCTCTTGCAGTAAGAGGATAAGAACAATGGAGGGACATCGACTAAGAGTCGGTGCGCTAGCTTGGAGCTCATCCCTATTGTCTTCAGGAAGCCGGGACAAGAGTATTCTTCAGCGTGATATACGAGCTCAAGAAGATTACGTCAGTAAGCTAAGTGGTCACAGGTCAGAGGTTAGGCTTCCTTCTTGCTTCTCATTTTTTAACTCATTTTTATCAGATTTTCTGTTTGACTTTTGCTTGCATCTTAATAGCAACTACTTCTTTTCAGGTTTGTGGGCTCAAATGGTCTTATGATAACCGTGAATTAGCTTCTGGTGGAAATGATAACAGAGTATGTTGTTAATTTCCAGAATCAACTTCTGATCATGATACTTGCTAGATGATATTTGCTATCTTTAGGCTCTTAATTCAGTATCTCACGTAAATCTTGATGACCAGCTTTTAGTGTGGAACAACCATTCAACACAACCTATATTAAAATACTGCGAGCATACGGCTGCTGTGAAAGCGATTGCATGGTCCCCTCATCTTCATGGGCTTCTTGCCTCTGGTGGTGGCACAGCGGATCGATGCATTCGATTCTGGAATACAACCACTAACACACACCTCAGCTGCATAGACACTGGCAGTCAGGTATTTTCCTATTATTACATATTTTTTATATGTACCTCTTTTATGTTTCTGCCTATCTTAGATAAATCTTACCAACTTTTTCTTTCTTTCAAAAGATAGTACTTGCGTTATCTAAATTACGTGATCAGAAGAACAATCTTGCTTTTCAATTGTTACCATCTCAAAAAAGAACAATCTTGCTTTTCAACTCCCTTTCTGATCATTCCATGGCTTTTGGAATATAAAAAGGTTTGGTTTAGCTTCATTTAAGTTTGTGTTCGTCAAGTTAACCATATTCCATGGATAGGATAATTCTGGCTTTTCAAGAATTTGTGGACCTTTATGTGTGAAATTTGTTTAAATCTTAAGTGCGCGGGCATACAAACATACATCGGGTCAGCTTTCGTGCACTTCAACTAATTCAACGGGCAACCTGTTCACACGCAGTGCGGGTTGCCAAGGTAATCCTGCTCAACCAAGGTTGGAGCCGGTGTGCTCACCCCAAGTGTTGCAGTTGGGATTAGAGCTGTTGTTACTACTACACCTTAACCAGTAGGTCATCCCCTTGGGAACCATCTCCAAGCACATTTTACACCATTGAAGACTCTGATCTGCCTTTCAAATTGATTTAAACAGTACTGGGGACCTCACTCTGTCATTTCTAATATCTGTATGATGATGATAGTTAACATTAGGGATGTTGCTCTTACTACACCTTACCCTGCATATTCAGTCCTCCTTTTTTTGTAAGAGAGAAGTGTCCTCAAGTTTATTCCTTAAAACTTTGTTATTGGAGATTTTAAACCATCTTGACCTTCCTCTTTAACCCCCAACACCCATCCTCTTCCCATCTCGTTCTTAATCTCAAATATCTTTCTCTATGGCCTTCGCCACGAATCTATATTTATTTGTGCACAAGGCAAAATGCACTAATATTGTATTGTTGATAGTATAGGCCCTCTGCAGGTATAACTTTAAAGAAAAACATCATAATTGCATAAACATTTACCATCACGAACCTGAGGGGTTTTCATTTAAGTTGCTCGGACTCTTCACTTTGGGTGCCGCACCAGTGTCGACCTGGCATGGGTGTGGGATTTGTACCGGATCTGGTCAACCAATTTTTGGTACTTTGACCAAAATCGGTGGAGAAATGCGGGAAAGATACAATGAGTTTTGAAATCAAAACAAAAGCTAGGGTGAAATTGAAGAAAATGGAATACCTTGTATATAGAAATTTCTATTTCAGGCCGTTTATTTTTGTCTCATTCTCGGATTCTCCTCTTAATCAATATTTTCTCCTTCTAGGAATATCATTTAGAAATATTTTTATAACTTTATTTTTAGATATTAGAATTATTTTTAGGCTAATCCCTGCACCTGTATCCGTACCTAGATCGGTACCCCCGAATCTTAAATTTTTAGATCATGAAGTATCTGACTTCTAGATCCACACCTGTATCCGCTATTCGTCTCCGAGTCCGAGCAACTTAGGTTTTCAAAGCCCTGTAAGACAATATCAACAGTGTTTTTCAAGTTACACACCTATTCTATTAATTGTAGCTAAAGAATTAGAGGAGTTCCCGCCGTATCTGAAACTGCAGAAATCTTTGAATATGACTGAGAGAAGGGGGGTTAAAGAAAACGGGAGTGGGAGAATGGTTTGGATCATTGTCATTGTGATGGAGGTCCTTGAACGTAATTCACTTCACAAGGTTGGAGAGGAACCAAGGAAAGTGAAGCGAGACATAAATGAAACTAATCAAAAGATTCGCAAGCTTACTACATTCTCTGCAAGATTTGGATTTATTTTTAAAGCCTTTTCAGACAAATTCTAAGCATCTAGAATTGCTGTAAGAGCAAATAACACTGCAAAAGTGGTTTCATCCCCAAAACGTGAGTAATTAAAAGTAAGACTTGCCCCATTTGTATAACAAAATATGAGGAATTAAAAGTAAGACTTCCCCCATTAGTATACCTTGGGCTGGGAATTCGGGCTAGGTGTGCCCATGGTTTATGCTATCTAGACAAGTTATGCCATTGTAGGTGCTTCATCAGGGAAGAGCTAGCTCGAATGGCACAGTGGAGAGTAGAGCCCCATCATCCAGATTTTTAGACCTATAACCCCGGGAATTGGCACAGTAGGAAGTAGAGTCCCATCGTCCAGATTTTAGACCTATAACCCTGGGAAATACAAGTGTCTTAATAGCTTGGGAATATACCCTCAAGGAGCTCTGAAAAAAAAAATCATTGAAATATTTATGTTTGAACCAGTTTTACAAGTTCGTTCTCTCTCTCTCTCTCTCTCTCTCTCTCTCTCTATATATATATATATATATATATATATATATATATATCTCACTCACTCACTCACTCACTCACTCACACACACACACACTCTCTCACACACTCACATACTGAGTCGGGATATATGTGTGTACACGCTACAGGATTGTGTGAATACTTGTATCTGTAAACATGTGAAGGAGAATAGAAAACTGTCCCACAATCCCTGCTCAACCCCCTCCCTCCTAGGTCTCTCTAGGTGTTTTGGACTTTCAGATTTACAAGTGCCACCAAGTGTTGTTTACTCAGATATACTAACTCATTCGACACTGTGGCAGGTCTGCAATCTTGCGTGGTCGAAGAACGTAGATGAATTAGTCAGCACTCATGGTTACTCACAAAACCAAATAATACTCTGGAGGTATCCTACAATGTCCAAGGTATTTCGCTTACGTTTTCAGAATGGAAGCTGCAGTAAAAAGTATATGGTCAAACATTTATTTGTTAGACATATCGTCTTGTACTAGTTTCATCATATGCTTTTTTCAATTAATGCAGATAGCCACTCTGACGGGCCATACATATAGAGTCTTATATCTTGCCATCTCTCCAGATGGACAGGTAGCTGAGCAAAACTACTTACTATATAAATCTGTCTACCTGTCGCCTAGTTGCAGCAACAGCTTCATTCTCTCTACTCTGATGTTTAACTTCTATTAACATCTTTGCAGACGATTGTGACTGGAGCAGGAGATGAAACACTTCGATTCTGGAATGTCTTCCCTTCTCCTAAATCTCAGGTAAAGCATATGCAAAAGGATAGTAACTTTCTATATTACAGGGTACCTTCATTTAGACTTTCAAAAGAATGCAAGGACATCTAACATGTGAATGTTAATGGCCATGCAGAATACCGATACTGAAATTGGGGCATCTTCTCTTGGTAGAACAAAAATCAGGTGACTGCAATGTAATTATTTTTAGGCACTGGTTAAAGTTGTTTTATCGTGAAGCACAAGCAGTGAGGAGGTGCGAACTGATCTGTCTGATGAGGGCACTTGTAACGGGAAAGAGTTGCAGGAAGCTGTAAGACTTAATGTGCAGCTGATAGGATGATGATCTCTATCATCTTTCAAATTTATGTATTAGAGTGATTATTCTATTCATAGATCAAAGTGTACAGTTGGAGATGTTATTTAATTCTCATTAACATCCTTGGGGCGTTCTGTAATATAGGAGAGAGGGAGCGTGTTCTTTGGGGGGACATCCAATTTTTTTCGCGAACTTGTGATCTTGTTTGTACATAAAGTTGTCTTTTTCTATTTTCTGCCTTCTAATTCATGAAAACAAATGATCTCCTATGCTCACTTAGGCCTCATTTGTTTTTTTAAGATTAAGACGTCTGAATCTGAATACACATCTGAATATCAAGATGTGTATTAAGATTAAGACATCTGAATCTGAATATACATCTGAATATAATAAGATGTGTATTAAGATCTGAATACTAAATAATTAAGATTGTTTGATTTTTAACATCTGAACGTATAAAATTTATCTTTATTTGAATATTAATAAGCATAAAGTTCAAATGAAATACGAACTAATCTAATATTCTATCAATAAAATATATACTCCCTCCGGTTCACAATAAGACTATTTGATTGTACACGGGTAACCGAACAAGCTGGTGTACTCGTGTAACTTCTCAGCTTCAGGTGTAAAGAAGTCCGATCTAGCTATTTCTGTCACCTTTTGTTTCTTACTGCTGTCTGCCTCAGTAACTTATGCATCAAAATTGGTTTATACCAACATAGATTTTGGATGCCCTTATTTTAGACATTGAAAGAATAAAGCTTGAAAGAGATGTGAAAGGAAATGAAACTAAAGCAAATAAGCAATTATAATGGAAGAGAACTGACTACTGAGTTACTCTGCTTTTTATGAATGTTGAAAAGAAAAAAAGTTATAGAGACCTTTAGTGTAAAAGAAATAAAGACTCTAATGTTGCACATTCTCATAGCAAGCAACCCTTTATTTGCTATTCCTTCCATGTTAACTGGTAGGTATTTTGGTCTATTTATATGCAACAGTTCGTTTGAAGAACATCAAAACCAAGACAATGAAACGTGGGATGGCTGCAACCTATGTTGCTCGGATGTATTTTTGGAGGATCTGATAGATAACATTTTTGGAGAGTCCACGCAACATAGGCTGCAACACTAGATACAACCCAAGTCTGTGGCTACTACGCATCAACATCTTTAGCCCTCATGCTTTGTTTTAGTGGTAATGACGCAACACAAAGTTACAAGTTGTAATCCTTTCCTTTGGTGGACAAAGTCTGGTATCTAAGGTAGAGAGGCAGACTCATAGTCCGAGCAATTTCTCCGGTTTTTAAAAAAAGGTACCACCATCTTCAAAAGTCAAAACGAAATGCCTATTTTTCAATTATTTACATTAGAATAAAGAATTATTATGCATTAAAATACATCAATCTTGTAAAGTTTGGAAAGGAGCAGAATGAGAGGACCAGGAAATCAAACTCATTGAGGGGAAGCAACATGTGCAAGATTCTTGACAAGGTTGTGGTAAATCCAAGTTGCAATTTGTGGTTGTATTTCCCATTTGGGTCTCACCTAATTCAGTACAAGGTGAGGATGCTTCTTTGAGCGGGCCCCAACATTCCACTTTGTTGAATTCTGGAATATTTGAGTGAAAATAAACCCAAACCAATGCTTCTTGCAACTCTGGGTAGTTCTTTAGCAAATTCCCATCTCCATGAACAAATGCTTTTATAACCTGTCAAATAATATGCTAGGTCAAAAGACTGCTTTTAAATATATTTCTCTACAATGTGTTTGATTAATAAAAATACTCATCAACTAAACTTTTTCATAGAAGAAAACAATTCACATGAAAAATGAGTTTGATAGGGGAAAGAAAATATGTATTAAAAAGGTAGGTACCACGGGGAGTTCTTTGCAGAAGATATAGTATCTGAGGGTAGCAACAAAGTCTAACAAGAAATGGCCTCCACTAATGTGACAATGGACATGAAGTGACATCTTCCCTTTAACTTTCTTCCATTCTGCAACCACTTCATCCCTTTGCAATCTATTATACCACCCTTGTAACTGCACATCAAAGTTCCAAATAAGGAAAAAGATCCCCAATCTCATCTGAGGAATATAATTGATTTAGCTTACCAATCACAAGTGCAAATTGTGCAAAACGGCTTCCAAACTTACGCTAAAACAATAACAATAGGGTATGCACATCTTATCGCTACCTTTACGAGGTAGAGAGGTTGTCTCCGATAGACCTTCCGCTCAAGAAGACAAATTTAGACTAAAACAACAACAACAAAAAACCCACTTGAGTTTCACAAGTGGGGTCTGGGAGGGTAATGTGTACTCAAACGGTCAAACCTTATACCTACCCTTAGAGATGTTGTTTCGACCCTAGGCCAGTAAATAAAAACAATATTGTAGAAACTGAATCTTGCCCAGTACTTTTCCTCTGTTTTGCCTAAAAGCTGAACAGCTACAGATCGAAATTAGGGAATTTACAATAGCTGTGCTAATAGATGAATATGAAGCAGGAATTACCTGGGAGTTATTAATGGTTTGAGAAATGGCAAGAGTGAGTTTGGAAGTAATATCACTATGTGTAAGTGTGTAAGTTCTTGGAAGCTTTCCAGGATGTTTTTTCTCATCTACACCTAAGAATACAACTTTCAGCTTTGATGCTTCAAAAATAGAAGGTCCAAATAACCTTGCCACCTGAGATCATCAATCACACATATATATTCATGAGCAGAGAAACCCAACAAGTACAATATCTGAATATTAAATTTTGATAAACAAAAAGGAAATGAGTATTACTGGAAGTAGAGATTGGGTCTTCTTGGAGAGTCTTGTTGTTTTGTATACAAAAAGAGAGCTTTCCTTTTGAGGTTTGAGCTTTGATGGAAGTAAAGAAATGGTTAAAGTGCTCATATCTCTGAGACTCTTACACTCTGACGCTGACGCTGAAGCTGAAGCTATAAAATATATCTGAATATTTTATACTAGTATTGATCAGGAAGAACAGGAATTTGCCTTTTTTGGATTGTTTTTGGTTTCTTACTTGCGTCGTCGCTTTTGCTTTAAGGCTTTATATAAAGATTAGTATTCATACGTGTATCTGTGAGAAAGACGTAGAAAACGACGAAAGAGGCAAAGAAAAATGGAGGGATCCATACCTACTCAATATTTACGTCAAACCAATACTACTCCATCAATTTAAGCGTCCAAATTAGAGTGAGGATATATATATATATATATATATATATATATATATATATATATATATATATCACCGATTTAATTAATAATAAAGGTTTGTATGTAAAATAGTTATTCTATTTTTTCTCCTTTCGTTCCAAGAAAAAAATTATTCACAACCAACTCTCTTCTGCTTAATGGTATCCTTAGTATTTCCGACATCCAAGCTATAAAATTTTATTATGTTTTACAACTTGAGTTTTTCCAAATCAATGCAAGCGACCTCCTCCTCCTAGCTATTCAAGTGGGAGAAAGAAAAAAAACTTTCATGTTTTATATTCTGAATCCAACGAAGGTCAATTATCCATCCTTGAAATATACAAATTATTGCATTCGTTTGTGCTTCATTTTTTTTTAATAAAAAAACAATGTTATGCTTCATTGTCAAATAAAGTATTACATGAAAATTGAAACTTACACCGAATGATATAATTTAATCTAAGAGTCACAAAATTAAAATGATAATATATATTATTAAATAACCATAATTAAATGAAATACAGAGAGTATAAAATAAATTATACGGTTGCTTAAGGGAGCTTCTAAGCTTAATTAGGGTTGGGTGCACGGCTTAGCAATTAGCACGTGGGTGGCATCACAATTTCCCTATTTGGCACTCCCACCTGTGCCCTTTGACTTTTCTACTAATAGCTCCAATTCTTAAATTTTGAGAACTTTCAAATGTTTTTGGAGTATATGTTTACTACTCCCTCGTTCATATTACTTGTTCAAGATTCTAAAAATAGATTTTCACTTTTGCTTAGTATATTAAGAGAAATTAATTTTTTTTTCCTGTTATACCCACAATATTAATTACTCATTTTCCAGTTATGATGGGGCTGCATCAGGGATCGACACTTAGCCCTTTTTTGTTTGCCCTGGCAATGGACGTACTGACGCGTCACATCCTAACGGGAGGTGTCGTGGTGCATGATATTTGCAAATGATATTGTATTGATTGACGAGACGCGAGGCAGTGTGAATGCGCAGTTAGAGGTATGAAGGCAGACCCTGGAGTCTAAAGATTTCAAGTTGAGCAGGACCAAGATAGAAACTTTAAGTGTAAGTATAGTGGTGAGACTCAAGGAGGGGAAGGGGAGGTGAGGCTGGACTCGCAAGTCATCCCTAGGAGAGGAAGTTTTAAGTACCTTGGATCTATTATTCAGGGGATGAGGAGATTGATGAAGGTGTCACACATCGTATTGGGGCTGGATGGATGAAATGGAGACTCACTTTCGGTGTTTTGTGTGACAAGAAGGTGCCAACAAAACTTAAAAGGTACGTTCTACAGAGTGGTGGTCAGACCGATAATTTTTTATAGAGCTGAGTGTTGGCCAGTCAAGATCGCTCATGCTCAGAAGATGAAGGTAACAGAGATGAGGATGTTGAGATAGATGTGCGAGCACACCAGGTTAGATAGGATTAAAAATGAGGTTATTCGTGACAAGGTGGGTGTGGCCCCTATCAGTGGCGGAGCCAGAATATTCGTTAAGAGGTGTCAAAATATAGAAAAGTAAACATACCATGAAACTAAGGGGAGTCAATATATACATATATATATATATATATATATATATATATATATATATATATATATATATATATATATATATATATAAGTTCCTACCTACACAGTATATTTTTTCCGCGAAAGGGTGTTATTGACATCCCTTCCTATAAGGTAGCTTCGCCACTGGCCCCTATTGAGGACAAGATGCGGGAAGCGAGACTTAGGTGGTTTGGTCATGTGAGGAGGAGGAGCACAGATGCCCCGGTGAGAAGGTGTGAGAGGTTGACATTGGAGTGTTACAGAGAGGTAGAGATAGGTCAAAGAAGAGGTGGGGAGGGGTGATTAGGCAAGACATGGTGTAGCTTCAGCTGACCGAAGACATGACTCTTGATAGGAAGGTATGGAGGTCAAGGATTAGACTAGTAGAGTAGGTAGTCTAGAGTGTTCATAATAGTAGTATTGACATGCAATATCGCTTTCTGTTGGTAGTAGATTTTTATGACTAACCGTTGTTTTCTTTCATTGTTGGTCACCTTAGTATCTTGTTGTCTTTATTCTGCTTTTACAGGGCTTTTGGTGTTGTCCCTTCTTGTCTTTATTTTCATTAATGTGGTGCTTATGCTTTCCTGAGCCAATGGTCTATCGGAAACAACCTCTCTATCCTCACAAGGTAGGGTTAAGGTCTGCGTACACACTACCCTCTCCGGACCCCACAGTGTGGGATAATACTGGGTATGTTGTTCAAATCATTTTCTTAAAACCATTAATAATATGCATCACTTAATATGGGTATCATGGTAAATTAGGCAATTCATTTATTATTTCTTAAGGAGAAATCTATAGTAAACAAATAAAAGTGAGCGGAGTGAGTACTAATGTTTTCTTTTATATTGGTACGGCTGCTGTATTAAAGAAGAGAGTTGCGTATATTAATTATCTTGAGACTTTTTTTTTTTTTACTTTGTAAGGAACAAAACAATTGAAAAATTAAACTATCAACCTCATATTTCTATACATTAAATTCTATTTCATTCCCTTAATATTTCCAGTAACAAAAAAGTCAATACTTTCTTCTCCTTTTTAAATGGATGGATAATCCTATTGACCTACTAGAGTCTGAGCTGGTTATTGTCAAAATTTTCAAAAGTTCAAATATGGCCCTCAGACTATAATGAATTATCACATTTATTTTTCACAAATGATTTTTTTTTTTACCCGAGCTGTTGCAGAAAAATGAGTAAATTCAGTTAACTTCCTTAATTTTGAAAAGGAAAAAAATACATCAATCATTTTTTGTATTAGATAAATTAAAGAACTTATTCGAGTAAGCGTTACTGGCGATTTTTGAATTTTTTGATTATTTAGAATTATATTTGTATCACCTATAAAGTAATTAGACATTTAACGTTGATATTTTATTCTTCTTCAAAATAATTAATAAAATAAAATATTTATAAACAATTTGACCACGAGGAGAGTACATGAAAATAGAAAAAAGTAATGCTTACACAAAATTGAATAATCAAGACAGAATATCATGCTAGCTAGTATATTACTAGTAAAAGAAAAAGGAAGAATTATGGTATATTCCAGATTTCGAATTCTAAGTAAAAATCTCATTAAACAAATTAAGGTTTTGTATTTTGAAAGAAAAAACAACGGAGAAAAAAGAGTGTGTATGAGTTTTCACTTTTTATACAATACGATTTTGTGATTTTTGATTGTTGAATTAACACAAATCTTATTATAATTATATGAATTGAGTGTCATTTTTTACCTTTTGAATCTCATTCAAATGTTGACAATGTGGCGGTTACTCGTAATTTCTATCACTAGGTTGAGGAATTTCTAACGATTTTCACTTGATGTGAAATATAGAAACAATAATATATAGTTTTTAGTTACAAACTTTAGTTTTATAATTTTGCTACAATAAGCACAGGCTATTAATAAGATACCATTCAATTCTTGAATGAGCTTCCTCCAGGGAAAAAAGTAATATTATAAGAAGTTCTTTCAGAAATAACAAGCCACAGACGAAATATCCAGAATTATTTGTACTAGAGTCCATATGCCAACTTTGCCTGGTCGCCTGACGCCTGGTCGGCAGTCGACTTGGGCCTGTGAATTCATTGAAAACATGTTTTTGTGCATCTCATTTTCCTTTTTCTTTCTTTTTGATACTGTCTTTGATATGACGTATTTTTTTAAAAAAAAAAATTAAAATGCTTTCTAGTGTTTATTGGAGATTTAAGAATATTTTTTCAGATTTTTTAAAAATATTGATAACAATATATATATATATATATATATTGTTATCAATATTTTTAAAAAATCTGAAAAAATATTCTTAAATCTCCAATAAACACTAGAAAGCATTTTAAGAGAAAAAATATATATATATGTTTAACCAAAAAATAGAATTTCGGTTAAAACTAGAAATTAAGAGAAAAAATCGGGTTACTGATAATCAGGAGACGAAAAGAATAAGAAATTTTCGAGGATAATAAAGCAGTAAATAAGTTTGTATTTCAATGTAATCTCAATGATTTTTCGTGTCCCTACAAATGCTGAGACTTCATCCTTTTATAGTTGATTTTTCTAGGAAAAGGTATAATGCCTTAGCCTTAAAGAGGCAATTATGAGCATTAAATGAAACGTTATACAATCATTCCTATTCAATACTAATTCGCTAACGTATTTGACATTTAATACTGAATTTAGACTCCTTTATGCCATCAGATTCATATCTTCAATTCCTTCTGGCCTCCTGGCTTTAATTAAGTTAAATAGATACGAGACTCGTATCATTTGAATAGCATCTCGTGCCTATTTAACTTTCTTCTCCTCGTATCTGATATCGCCCGTGCCTCTTAACTGATCATCATATTTTGACCATTTGACCAGTCCACGTGTCATGCCACGTCACCTTCAATATAAATTCAGTTTTTTCCCTATACAGATAGTCCCCCCACTTTCTATTTATTTATCAATTAAATATTTGGGAAGTGGATCCTCATTAAAAAAAGGGAATTTTTGCCATAATCAATGCTATGACAGTGTCGACGCTTCAATTGTCTCTTCTATTTAATGCACCATATACGTGTCACCTTCTCATTAGTTCTGCGATTTTGCAGCCTTTTTCTAAGGCTTCTTTAACTCCACTATTCACGAAGTGATAGTTGCCTTTATTATAGGCTTTCCATCATTATACTTCTTAATTATCGACGGTTGAGTTTATATATAAACTTGCCCCCTCTTTCCTTTGTCTTCTTCTTCACAAGCTTTTTACCAAATTTCTTGCTATTTACT